AGGAAGGAAGGAAGGAAGGAAGGAAGGAAGGAAGGAAGGAAGGAAGGAAGGAAGCTGGTAGAAGGCTCTGTGCTGGGATTTTGGCTGCCAGCCTGGTACCAGCAGGGATTCAGACTGTCTGTTTCAGGATGAGCACAGCACCGTGCTGTGGGTTCTGTGGGTGCTGTGACAGTGCCAGAACATCAGTAGCAGGACAGGGCCCTCCCTGTGTCACTTAGGGTAAGCAGAAAAACAAACAAGCCCAGGACAATGGCCAAAGCATCTTCTGGGGGACTTGCAGCTTCCAAACTTTATTTAAAAAATAAGGAAAAAAGTAAATTTTCTCTGTCAGAGCGCAGCTATCATCACGCAATGGCACTTAGGAATATTATAAACAATGGTGTGGGTTTATGGGGCTGGAGACGTTTTCCAGTGGCTCACTCAGCCTCCCTCTCCCCAGCGAGGGCAGGATGGCCAGGACGAGCCTGGGAAATGAGGGAAATCAGGAGGGTTTGTGCGGACATCGGGGTTTCCCATCCGTTTCCACTCCCCTGGCGCTGAGGAGCTGCTCCCTGCTCCCTGCACAGCCACAGGCACGGCTCAGCCAAGGTGGGACGAGCCTGGCTCCCGAATCCTCCCGGCCTGGTGCTCGTTTTCTCCCACCTCAGCACTTTCTCTGCCTGCAGCTCCGTCAGCTGGCAGGCTGTAAATCAGAGCCCAGGCTGTGTGGCCGGCTGTGCAGCCCAGGAGGACGCTGCTAGGGGCGGGTGGGGAGGAATTATCTCTGCAGCAAAGGAAACCACCCTGGCGTGTGCTCTCTGCTGGCCCTTGCTGCACGCACGCTCTGGTACAGCTCCCTGCAGGCACAGCTGCTGTGGGAAGGATTTGTCCCTGGAGGAGAGCATCCCTGCCTGGGGCAGTGCCCAGGATGGTTGCACTGGGAGGGCATCCACAGCTCCCTGATGGTGCCCAGGATGGATGGATGCACTGGGAGGGCATCCATGGATCCTTGCTGCTGGTGCTCCCAGGAATGAATGGCTCTGCTCCCCATGCCTGCTCTACAGAGCTAAAACCCATCCAAACCTCCTTCATTCTGCATGTTCAGGGCTGCAAAGCACGTGCTGGAGCCGGATTGCTGGCGCTGCTGCTCCTCACCTGGCAGATGGAGCGTGTAAGGCACGCCCTGCAATGCTCTCACATGGAGAGGCAGAGGATTTATAAGATCAGTACGTGACTGACAGATAAGGGACTCCCACAGAGCAAAGACAAGAGCAGGGGAACCACAAAGCTCCGAGCTTGGACCTGAATCAAGGAATTCGCAGCCCCTCTTGTTCAGGCAGGTTATAGCAGAAAATTTGCCAAATCAACCAAATGCCATAAAAACTTTCTTGAGGAAGGGTTAGGGCAAAGATGGGTTTATAAAAACACCCACCAACAGCCCCGTGTCCCACCCTGGTATTTATGAGATGCATGTGGAGGGTGTTGATAGCAGAGGCATTTTTGTAAGTCAGTAAAACAGAAGAAGAGATTCCTCTTGGTGAGGAGGGGTGGTGACTTTGAACGCGTTGAGGGCAATGAAGGAGATCATTCCATTGTTCTAAGATTTCCATAACTCACTGTGCTTAAGCACATAAAAATGTAGACATTCTGGCAATAAAGTTTGGGTAATTTTTGAGTATGAATCAAAAATCTCTCCCTGTGCTCCCCTCCCCCTTGCTCTGCCTTTTGTTGTTGCTGCAGGCGCTGCCCCCCCGCTCGCCCGCTCCACCCCATGGCCTCACGAATGGAAAAATGTCTTCAGCAGAAACCTCCCAGCTTTGCTCTGATTCTCTAATCTGCAGCATCTGTGCCCAGCCTGGCGGCCCTGGCCCGCTCTGCTCTGGCTCAGAGCAGAGCCATGAGCAGGTTGGGATTTCCTGGCCAGGAGCTCAGCAGGCGGAGGTGGCACTGCCCGCCAGCCTGGCCATGCTCTGGAGTGTCCCCTGTCCCCGGTGTGCCCTGCCCCAGCAGCCTGGCACACTGTGGGTGTCACCTGTCCCCGGTGTGCCCTGCTCTGGTGGTGTCACCTGTCACCTCTGTGCCTGGGGCTGCCCCTGACTGGGCAGGGTGAGGGTCCCCAGGCAGAAGTGGTGCAAGTCACCCCAAACATCACCAGAGCAGGTGCCTGCCTGCTGTTTGCTGTCCTTTTGCAGAGAGGTCAGCTCTGGGTTATTTTTATTTGTTTTTGCCTTGCCCTGTGTTTCCAGCCTGCTCCAGGGATGAGCAGTTCAGAGCCTTCAGCCATGCTGATGGAGCTGTGGTGCCCAGAGCTGGCACATGCCAGCGGTGGCACAGAGCGGGAATTCCATCCTGACCATGCCTGAGTCCTCACCCCCTCCCAGCAGACCTCGCCCTGCCCCTCTGGGCCTTGTTCCTTTTTGTCTTTCCCATTTGCTTCTCTCTCTCTCTTTTTTTTTTTTTTTTTTCAGCGAACAACCTTATTTCCCACTTTGACATTTTCCAGACCCACCTGGGAGCCTGCTTGCCAGAAGGAGAAATGGCACAAGAGGAAATACATCTTCACAGCCTCGAGAGAGGAGAAGGTTGGAATCTGAGTCCATAAACAGCGTTGCTGTGCAGTGAGCAAAGACAGAGCAGGTTGGGCTCTGGAGAGTGTAACCCCACCTCTGCTGCTCCACTGCCAATTCAAAATACAGAAGTGGAACTTGTTTTTGTTTGTTTTTCCCTCTCAGACTGGGGATGCCATGCAAGGAAAAGCCCTTTCACATATTTTTGTCTTGGGGACCTCCTGGGACAAGCAATGGCTCTGACCCGGTCTGGCTCGCTGGGACCTGCCAAGATCCACTGTGGAAAATTCCCATTTCTGCCCCAAACCATCAGCCCAAAGCCATGAACGTGGCCACCAGTGCATGACCCCCATGTCCTTGTCCCTGGCTCTGTTCTCCTGTCACTGCCCTGCCTCTCCCGCTGCCTGTTGGCAGGGAGGTTCAGCCTCAATCAGGTAGCACTGCAGAGGGTTTAACTTTGATTTAAACAGGTTTTCTGTGCCTTTGCAGAAGGCAGGTCAGAGCAGTGGTTACTGAGGGGTGGCAGTGAGGGCTGCAAAGCTGCTTCCTGCAGTGCATTTCCTCTGAGCACGGTCACAGTGTCCGTGCTGACAGCTCAGAAAACGTGGAAAAACCGATCTGACACACTCTGGTGCTTTATTTCATAGTGCTCAGTGCCTGATGCTGATTGAAGCTCCTTCCCAGTGCTGCTAATGCTGACACCTGGTAAGCCAGGGCTGTCCCCAGCAGTGCATTACACGAGCACAGAGCATCATTTACGCTCCCACCTCACTAGAGAGCACAGGGCATTTTTGTGTTGCTGAAACTGCCAGGATCACCTGTGCGTTGGTCAGGGCCAGGCCTGGGATGACGGATATGGCCCGGGCAGGGAGGAAGCGCTGCTGGGCTCCCACAGCCCATCCGCACAGCCCTCACCCTCCTGCCCCAACACAACTTTCATCCCTTCACCTTTTTTTTCCGACTCACTGAGCAACAACTGTCATGTTTATACTCTTCCCCCCCAGTCCTGCTCTGCTTCAAGGATTAAGCTTTCATCCTTCATTATGAGCTTCTCCCCCAGGCAACATTTTCCACGAAGAAAAAGGAATTTCTGGGATTTTGCTTTTAAGAGATTATGTTACTAAGCGTGTGTGTGTTTGTGCCGAGGCGAGGAGCTTTCCCACACACACGGGGATCTCACACCCTGGGGTGCTGTGGGGGGACAGCCCCTGGTGCTGCCTGTCCCTGGCAGCTCGTGCCCTTCCTCCCTTGCTCCTGCCTCCTCCTCTCCCACCAGAGTGCTGCTACTGGGGTGGGCACCACGAGGGGCTTCCCTGGCACCAGGTGGGTCCCACCCCACGCTGGTGAGTGGTCACCCCTCTGGGAGGAGGGATATGGAATGGGCATCCCTGGGATCTGGGAAAGAAGGGGCCTCAACCTTGCTCCCCANTGGGACTGGAACTTGTGCCTGGCCGCGTGGAAGCGCTGGTTGATGCCCACCTGGTAGGAGGACTGGTAGCCAGGGCTGCCGGCAGAGGCTCCCACCAGGCGCTTGGCCAGCACTGGGGAGGAGCAGGGAGACGGGGTGAGGGAGGAGGCAGCTGTGCTGCTGGGGGACAGGGACGCCCCAGCGGAGGGGAGCTGGTGCACCGGGGACTCTGTTCTTGCAGGGGAGCTCCCATTCTCCACTGCACCCTCGGGGGCTGCGGCAGGCTTCTCCCTGTGAGCTGGGCTCTCTGCAGCATGCGTGTCCCCAGCCATCGGCCCGTCTGTGTCACAGTGCCCGTTGGACTTTGCATAGGAGTGAGCAGGGGCAGGGGCGCTGGCAAACACGGCGTGGGCAGCTCTGCTGGCGCTGGCAGGGGCTGCTCGCTCTGCCTGCAGGCCCTCGGTCTGGCAGGACACTGACTTCACTGCGGGACTGTCAGTTGTGACCCCCCTGGACGTCACCGAGGGGCTGGGATGCACGGCCTTGGGGGGACTGTGCTCCTGGCAGGAAGCCTCCAGCTCTTTCAGGGCTTTCTTCAGACACTCCACCTCTTCTTTGAGTGCTTTTGTACGGTTTTCTTCTCTGTTCAGCTTAGCTTTCAGCTGCTCTCTTTCAATGTCAAACTCTGAGAGCTGCTTTTCTACTTGTGCTTCCATCTGCAAGCCCCGCTTCCTCTTGGCTGCCAGCTCCTCTTCCAGTTTACTCACCTTACTCTTCTCCTTTTCCAGTTTCAAGCTCAGCTCTGCTGTCTTCTGGCCCTCTTCAGCTGCTTTGGCAGTGGCTTTCTTGCACTCCACAACAAGCATGGATGACAGTTGCTTGTGGCGTGCCCTTTCCTCCTCCAACTGGCTCGACAGCTTCTTCTGCTCCTTCTCAAACTTCTTCACTTGGGACTTTTCAAACTCCACCTGAAGTTAAGAACAAAAGAGATTTTAAGGGTACCATAAAACCTCCTGAGAGCAAATGAAGGGAAACACCCCAAAAGGGAACAGGTTTACTGTGTATCTTGGAGAAATTACACAGGAAAAAATGACAATGGATAAGAAAGAGGTTATTGCACCAGAAATCAGCAAAATAGTCTGGCACAACTCAGCCTGCACACAGTAATAATTATTACTTCCTAGTAGTTTTATCCTGTGTGAAATTCGACTGGCCTTTAGTCAGACACACACCCAGTCTGCCATGCACTGACAGAACAAGCAAAGCTTCCTTCCACCTCATTTACCACTTTGTCAGTTTGCCTTTTAAAGGCATTTAGGCCTTAAAATGCTGATGTGTTATGTATGCTTAACAAAGGCTACAGGCTTGAGTAACAGAAAACAGTGGCTTAAATATTTATTAGCATCTCTGAACAACACCCCCAGGAGATCTTCCATGACTTATTCTGAATTTTGAGTACTGCAGCGAGCTATCAACTGTAAAAGCAACCCTGTTCTTCCCAACTCCTCGGATTTCAGGCTGAAGTAAGATTTCAAAGCATTTGATTGCCTATTAATACCTTCCAGCACTGCTCAGCTACCAAAGCACGCNAGCTCTGCCCCTCCATGGCACAGCTCTGCCCCTCCATGGCACAGGGATCCTCCCCACACAGAGGGGCCCTGCCTAATGGAACAGTGAGAATTCCCCAAGGATAATGTGTCTCTGGCACCGGGAGCTGTGCAAACACCACTGTGCTGCCCAGGGAAGGGCTCCACGCTGGATGGCACCGAGCAGCAAGTCCAGTTCCTAAATTTAGGATCAGGTCCCGTTCAACACTGAGATCATTCACTCGGGGTTGTGCTCTCAGCCTGTGCCACTGATCTGTGCTGTTTGTCCTGGGTTTCTCAGCACAATGACTCAGAAAACCACTGTGCTGGGCCTGTTGGTTCTCCTGCAGCAAACACTTCTGCACAGGAACCACCTGCTTCTTCTGGGTCCAAATACTTCTGCACACACATGATCTGCCTCAAACTTAGGCAATTCCTCACTAAGGAATTTTTTAAAATATCAGTGAATTGCCATGTTTTCTTCCTATGAGGCAGAAGATCAAGAAGAGATAAATACTTCCCTAACACACTGTGTGTTTAGCATGTATGTGTGTGACACACATATCCACATATTTAATTCCACAGCAGCAATGATTTGGTTCCATATTTGCAGCCAAGGAAAGCTAGCCACAGCTAGTGGGTAAAATCCAGGTCAGTCAGACTTAACTGACACAGATGGGGAACAAAATTATTGCTATTGTTTAAGATTGAAGATCCCATTTACAGGTATTGCAAAAAACCTGTACTGGATGGATGAGTTACTTTTTCAAGTAATAGTGAGATCTTTGCCAAGTAACAGAAAGATCCTTTTCTCAGAAGTTCTACACACAACAGTAGAATGCTTGAAGAGCTTGAAAATTACAGGTGATACACCAGAAACCAGAATTGAGCCATGTAAAGCACACAGGCATCTTGGCAGGAAAGCAGAAAGAGCTATATGGACAGGGAAGTAACCTGGATGATAACACAACTAAATTTTATCCCAAGAAATTCCTGTGTGCTTCCTCAAATAGCTGGAGCTGGGTCCTGAAGGACACAGCCTGGCTGGCTGCACCAGTCTGGTGCTCACCTGGCAGAATCTGTAGCACATTTGCTAACTTACCTTAGCAAATGGAAAGAATTAAAAGGAAAACCAGTGTTGGTTTCAACATTCAGGACTCAGAAGAATATGCTTCTGCAGCTAGATGTTCCCCTCCTCACCTTTTCCCGAGAATCACATTCATATTGCAGGCTTAGTTCAGGCACTTTTATAAAATGTTCATCTGGAATAAAAAGTCTGCAAAAATTATTTCTGCATAATTTAAAAGTAGCATTTCAGTCCCATTAGAGGCTGATAGGTCCCACCACATGATTATGGTTGTTATCTCTAATGATTTGACTGCTGCCATGAGACATTTGGAGGCTACTGTATAGCTGTAGTTAAGGTTTCTTCATAAACAAAAATATTTTCCTACCTATTAAAAAAGGAAAAAAAATATACTAAATGCTTTATACAGACAGAATCTGCTACTATGGAAATAAATAACATGGAGTGGAAAAACAGTGTCTTAGCTGCAGGGTAAGCTAAGCTGCGGAATGTCACATTCCCGTTTTCTGGAGACTAGCTGCTGCTTGGCAGGAGGATCTCCAGGTCCTTGCCATTTGACACGACAGAGCTGCTGGAGCAGCTGCTGGCCACGTCCACGGGGGCACCCAGGGAGGAGCCTTTGCTGAGGGGAGCAGCAGCAGCAGCAGCAGCAGGCGACTGAGCCAGGCCGGGCTTCTTNGAGGGCTCTGTGCAGGGACCTGCACTCCTCCTGCAGCCGGGCTCTGCTCCCAGTTCCCATGAGATGCATCCTGCTTGAACAGCAGCAGGGACTGGGGCCTCTCCTTCCCCAAGCCCCAAAGCATCCATTATTATAAATCTCATCCATTCATACTGTGGCAAACAGGTACTCCTGGAAAACTGCCTTTACTTACAAGTACCAAAAGCCAGAGCTGTCTGGAGCACCCTCAGTGTGCTGTGCCACCTGAAGCTGCCCCAGGGCACCTCCCAGCTCCCAGGTGTGTGGAGATGGAGGAGCAATGTGCTCTGGCTGCAGCAGCCAAGACTGCTCTGGACCCACTGTACTCACAAGAAATTCTCCCTTTTCTCACATTTCTCACATTAAAGCTCCAGGTCCCAGGTGGGCACAGATGCCCAGTCACCAACAGCAGGAGTGTTTCCTGCTGGGCAGCCCCAACTGCAAACATTTCCTTAAGCAATTTGCACATCTTAAAAATAAAATCCTTTATTGATAATATGAATGTTTAACATGTTTAATGCCATCAGCTATAAAAAATGATTAAAGACTTCAGCTTGGTACATTTGGCTTTACAAATTTACAAGTGTTAATGAATTAATACTAGTGTTATATGTTTTGCACTTCATTATACTCCATTAGCCAGTGACAAACTCTGCAACAATGTCTGCTTAGGACACATGTGAGTTAGAGAAGAAATATTTAGTTGCTTTCACACAGAATCTACATCAACAGTTAAATACTAACTCTAAATGTCTTACTGAATTAGTTGGATCCGTTTCAATCCCTTGTGCTTAGTTTCTTTCAGAAGTTAGTCTACTAGCAAAAATACATTCTTTTGCATACCCCTTCCCATATTATATTTTAGAAGAAACAGTACTCAGTGCATTTCCTATTAGACTTCATCATAGTATCTCTCTCTCTCTAGCGCTATCAATAAAGAAGGGGATAATACCAGTCAGAATAATGTAAAAGTAAAGAAACTCATTAAAGCAGTGTATACAAAAGCCTCACTTTTCAATCAGAAGGGATACATGGGCCAAAATCCACCTGCCCATCCTTTTTTACTTTTACTCTCCGCAAGAGCTAAAAAATCCGCTGCGGACACTTAGTTAAGAAAGTAATAAATGTGCTTCCAAAAGAGCCCCTGCCCATTCAGCTCTGGCTGCCTCTGTGTCCCTGCTGTTAATGCACAGACTGTTCCACTGGATTAGCAACAACAGCGCGTAATACCACTGCCCAAAAGGTCTGAGCAAGCCTCTAAAGCCCTGCCCTGGCTGTGTGGGGTCACTGCAACAGCAGCCACCCCCGAGCAGCACTGAGCTCCCTGTCCTGCAGAGAGAGGCTCAGAGCCCAAAGGAACCTCTGAGCACGGGAACCTCTCTGCAATGGACAGCTCTGCCCCTCNGTCCCAGCCTCCAGCACCACCGGGGTGTTCCTGGGGGCTCAGGGCTGGCAGGGCTGGGACCCAGCCCCTGTGCCTGGGGGCAGCCCTGACCTCGCTGTGCTCCTGCCTGTGCTCACAGGAACCTCAGCTGCTCCCGAGGAGGTGACAGCACGCCTGCAGGCTCGGCGTGCCGGGGTTTGGCTGCGCAGGGACTGCCGAGCAAGGTTGTGCTTTCATTGGCAGCAGCTCGTGTTATTGAATCCTTCTCAGGAGCTCATCTAAGCCCAGCAAATTAACATAAGGGAAGCACAGCAGATAATGTCAGCCGACCAAAGTAATCCAAGTCTGTAGTTACAGCAGGGAAGGCATAAACACAGCCCAGGAGGAATAAGTGCAGCTCGTTCAGCGTCAGCATCTGGGCTGCTGCTGCCAGGCAAGCGCTCCAGCTCTGCTGGAAATAACCCAGGGAGCGTCAGGTGCAGGCTCTGAAAAACCCCGGCCAAAGCCTCAGGCCCTCAGGGATGCTGAGTGAGGCCACCATGGGGACACGGCCTGGCACAGGCAGGGGGCAGAGGCAGAGCAGCCCCCTGAGGGCTGGGACATCCCCACCCTCCCTGCATGGGCTGGGGGACGAGGCACAGCTTCACCACTGAGTCACGGCTGAGTCAGACCTTGCTCATCCTCTGAGCACTAAACGCTGCTTATTGCAGTGCTCACAGGGGCAGCACTCAGATCTGTTCCTGGAGAGACAAGAAGCTTTCCCCTGCTTCCACTGCAGCCAGCATGTGCAATGATTAATAATTAAATACACGACCAGCCTGCTGCTTTGCTGCCGGAGCAGCTGCCATGATCCTGCTGTTGGGAAACTAAATGATTCCCAGCTTTCCACTGCTTTTTGACAAGTTGTTTTCAACTTAGAAGTCAATAAATAAAACTAGTAGCTTCTGCTGAGCTCAAACTCAGCTGGAAAAGAGCTCTGAAAACAGCTCTCAATGGAAGAGAAGCACATGCAGCCCTCAGAGCCCCCACCAAAACACCCTGGGCAGCAGGTCTGTATCACACATGCAGACACACTCTATTGTGGGTATTAAAGAGCCTAAATCTGATTAAAGCCTTTCTATCCCCACCAGTGGTCAATTCCAGAAAACAGCTCACCCAGGAGGCCGAATTCATTTCATCCCCAAAGTCTAATTAAAGCCATTAGTGTATTCCTTGTCTTTCTGATAAGATCAAAGCATTCCAAGAGCCCAGCATTACCTTATTTTCAAGACAATTATACAACATATAGCATCGATTTATTCTGCCTCCAGCTGTACACATTTATCTCTGTCTATCATCGGCTAATCGGTCCCATCAGACACGGCCCAGCCCGGGCTCTCAGCTGACACTGCCTGCACTTGCCAGGCCGGGTTTCTTTGTCACCCACCCCTCAAATTAGCGCCCGGGGCAGTGCCTGGTGTCCAGAGCCCAGTGCCCACGGCCAGGGTGGGACATGGGGCATGTCCAGGTCACTGTGGAGGTGTGCAGGTGGCAGGGTGGCCTGTGGAGGGGTCGGGGCACCCTCAAGGCTGCCCCAGGTCCCCTCCTGTCCCCTGTCCCTGCCTGTCCCTGCACAGCCCCAGCTTCCAGCACTGTGGATCCATGGATGAGCATGGCTCTGTGCCCACCCATGGGTATGTGAGGCTGTGCCCACCCATGGGTGTGCATGGCTGTGCCCATCCATGGGTGTGTGTGGCTGTGCCCATGCATGGCTGTTCGTGTCTGTGCCCATCCATGGGTGTGTGTGGCTGTGCCCATGCATGGCTGTTCGTGGCTGTGCCCATCCATGGGTGTGTGTGGCTGTGCCCACCCATGGGTGTGCATGGCTGTGCCCGTCCATGGGTATGTGTGTCTGTGCCCATCCCTGGCTGTTCGTGGCTGTGCCCATCCATGGGTGTGTATGGCTGTGCCCATCCCTGGCTGTCCTTGCCCTGGNCAGGGAGCAGAGCTGTGCCCGGCTCCGGGGGCACACGGGGGAGACGCCAGGGCAGCTCCATGGGAGAGACGCCAGGGCAGCTCCATGGGAGAGACACCTGGGCAGCTCCATGGGACAGACACCTGGGCAGCTCCATGGGAGAGACACCTGGGCAGCTCCATGGGAGAGACGCCAGGGCAGCTCCATGGGAGAGCTACCTGGGCAGCTCCATGGGACAGCCACCAGGGCAGCTCCAGAGGGACATGGGACAGACACCTGGGCAGCTCCAGAGGGACACAGGAGCTCCAGAGGGACACAGGACAGACACCTGGGCAGCTCCAGAGGGACACAGGAGCTCCAGTGACACAGAAGAGCCACCACAGCAGCTCCATGGGACAGCCGCCACTGCAGCTCCAGACACCTGAGCTCAACTCAAGTCACAGAAAAGCAGCTTTTGGACAAGTCCAATGTGTGTTTGTCTGGTCAAACTGAGTCAGTTTGTGAAAGATGTTCAGGAAACCTCACACTGGATGTATTTTACTATTAAATGTCTAAATTGCACGCTTTTCCCCCAGACTGTGCAATATCCTTGGGAGGTTCATGCCATGAATGGTGCCCTCATTCCAGAACAGCTGGGGCTGGAAGGATCTCTGGGGATCACCCAGTGCACCCCCTTGCCCATGTTATGAACGGTGTCCTCATTCCAGAAGGGCTGGAAGGGATCTCTGGGGATCACCCAGTGCTCCCCCTGCCCTGGAGAGGGTTGCACACATCAGCCCAGGCAGGTTCTGAACACTGGCAGGGAAGGAGAATCCACAAGCCCTCCACAGCCCGTTCCAGGGTTCTGTCACCCTCAAAGTCAGTCAGTTTTTCCTCGTATTCAGCTGGAAATTCCTGTATTCCAGTTTGTGCCTCCTGTCCCCAGCAAGTCAGAATTTCCTGGCAGGAGCATCGCTCCAGGGCCCAGCAGGAGCAGAGGTGCAGCACGAGCAGACCCAGGGCTCCAGAGCAGGACAGCCCCTCTGTGGCTCTGCAGCAATTCCCAGCAGGCTGCTCCCCTGCCTCACAGCCATCTGAGGGCTCCAGGGTAAAGTTTATTTTAAAGAACATTAATTTGTTCTTCCACTTAAGAACAAGATGAGCTCTTGAAGTGAAACTGCTTCCCATAAGGGCCCAGTGAAGGAGCTCCTTCAGCTTTAACACTGAATTACATGAATAATTGAAATGCTATTAACAAAAAAGCCAGAACACAAACTTCCCAAGAGGCTCTACTTATCACCAAAACTAAGCTCTCCCAACACATGCTCACCCATGAATTTAGCAGCTCCTCAGTCTTCCTGAAATTTAAGCTTCCAAATAATGCTTAAATATTACCAAGTGTACATCCTTGTATACTTGAAGAAGACAAGAAGAGGAAAAGGTGATACAATATCTGATTTTACTGTATGACTTAGTTGGATATTTTGCTGAAAAGTGAAGCCCAGCCTTGTCCTTACTTCTAGTGGCATCAATTTTTGTGGTACTATGGCCTGACACATGAGCAAGCACTTTAATGGTGTCAATATACATTAAAGGTATGTCAGAACAATAACAGGTGCTTCATTAAAGAGGCCAAATGGCAAGAAAAATACTTTTGGTCACTCCATGTTCGTTACGGAAGCACAAGGAGGTGCCTTCCCCTGGCAGCAGCTCTTCAACAACCACAGAGAACAAGTCCCAGGCAGAACAGTGATAGTTCTGCTGAGAATTCCATCTTCCAGAAAGCCTTTCTTGCATTTTGGGAAGGATTACACCTCCCAGCTGTAAGCTGGATCCTCTTTGGTGCGTCCTAACAAAAACATTTCAAATTCTGGAACTATAACTAACTAGCTCACCAGCTGCATGCTCTGGAGTGAGAAGTTTAAACAAAGGTGCAAAGTCCTTCCAGTTACCAAGCCTCAGGAACTGAAGTGTTTTTGCTGAAGTTAACTTGTCATTAAAATGCAGCTGTAACCTCTGCACATCCTAATTGAGGCAACACCTACCTTTCTGTGCCTGCTTTCTGCAGCAGCCAGTTGGGATAACATTCTCTCCTGCATATTCTTGCAGTGTTTCATCACCACTTTCAAAATAGACAAAGGATTGGAGCATACTGGCTGCTTTTCACCATGGTTCCCCTCCTTCAGTGTCTCAAAGTCTCTCTGCAGAGCCATCAGTGGATCACTGATGTTGTATTTCCCATAGCGCTCCTCGATGAATGTGTCCCTGTGCTGGGCCTGCAACACAAAACCAAATTTGCATTTTAATATACTCAAATAGCTAAAGAAACAGGGCTTTGTAGTGAATATTCCTTTTCCCCAGTTTTCCATTTAAAGAGAATTTAACACAGTCTGATTCATATCCTGTTATCTGCTACAAATAAAGGCAATAAAGACAAATCTTGCTTAAAAACATATCACCTCCACAAATATATCCAGTCTACAAACATCCTCATACCACAGCTACCTGCCAGGGCCATGACTTACATTCCACAGCTGTGAAAGGAAAGAAGGTAAGTACCAACTCTTGCTCAACAAAAGATTTAATCATTTATTGTCGCATCAGTGAAAGAAGCAGTTGTGTGCTTTCCTTGGCTGTGTCACCATCAAAGAATTTCATGTTGAGCAATTAAAGAGTTTCACTCTCGCAAGAGCCATCAATCTGTGAATTGTTAATAAAATCTTTAATGCTCTCATCCAGACTAAACAGAGTTTAGTTTCTCAAGACAGGAATGATGAGGTTTCCTTTGGTGCTTGTAGGAATTAAGACAACTCACACATCCCAGGCTCTGCATTCACAGTGCTTAATGGCTGGACTCGATGAGCTCAGAGCTCTCTTCCAACTCCAATCATTCCATGAATCAGCCATTCCATGGAAATCTGTTTGTCAGGATACCCATAGGCTTATCCTATTCAATGATGACTGTAAAGGTCTAAAAATGAAGCAAAATCTCATAGACAGATATGAAAGTATTATCTGTGTGTTCACCACAATGGTAAGAAACCAAATATTTATGCAACAAAAGGCACAGAAAACCAGATGTAGATTCAAAAGAGCCTTCAGAGGCGTCCTGGCTCAAAGGAATCTATCACTGATTTCCAGTGAAATGGCTCTGGGCTGAACCCTGAGCATTTGTGAAAAGCTGTGACTGTGCTCCATTCCCACAGTGGGGTGTCACTGACAGCACCACCCACACCCAGCAGGGCTGAGGCACCTGCCAGAAACAACACCTGGATGTGAGACTGCAGCTGGGATCCTCTGATTGTCTGTGAGCACTGGGACCAGGGCAGGTCACAGCTTCTGCTTCCTGCAGGGTGTGAATGGCTCCTCTGCTCTGCACTGGCGTGTCCCCAGCGAGGCCACAGAGGAACACGGGGCTCCCTCTGCACCACTGAAATGCAGGAGGGAGCCCAGGACCTGACCAAAGAGTGCTTAATGCAGAACAGACCCTAGCACGAGCGAGCTCCTCAAGGGCTCTGACCCTCACTGCCCTTCCTGCCACAGCACACACAGCACATGCGCTTTCCCTGGAGCACCTGCTCCGAACCAGCGCTGTCTGCACCTGCCCAGGTGCGCTCACCCCGTGCTCCCGGCTGCAGAGCACAGCCAGCACATCTCCCATTGCCAGGCAGGCACAGCAGCTCTGCAGCTGCTGCCGGGCCCTAAACGAGCCCCAGACTGTGCTGCTGCAGCGGGGCATGGCACGAACAGAGCTCTGAGCGCCAGCCCGTGCCAGCCTCGCATGAAACCCTCACGAACAGCAACGTCAGAAATCACCCACTGCTGACGGGGCTGCACAAGGACGGCATTCAGACAGGAAAGATGGGCCTGGCTCAAATGAAAGACAGCTCAGAAGCCAGTGCTCCTTGGAATGGCTCTTTTGCCATGTCCCAGCATCAAAACCACAACTGCTTCCCTTGAGCAGGAGTCCCAGAACTGTGGAACAGCCCCACACAGCAGCTGGCACAGCCACACTGGAACACTGAGAGTTAAATAACACAACTTGGCTTCACTCAAAGAGCTGGTGAGATTTGCTGCTCCCACCTGCATTCTGAAATGCAGCCATGTGATTAACATGAAATAAACTAAAAAAATTCATTTTTGCTCTTAAAAGGAAAAGTGTTTGCATTACCTTGACAAGAGGCATAAAAAACCCAACCCAAAATATCTTCTCCATGACCAAATTAGAGACATTCACCCTGTGAGTCCAGTTTGGAGCTGGATTTTAACCCTGCAGCAAACAAACTCACACTCACAGACACCCCTCCCTCTCTATCAGCAATATCCGTCAGGAGCTGTGGGCACCTTTGATCAGAGCTTCAGATATTGTTCTAACTTTACACAACAATAAAAAGGGGAGGAAGGAAAAGAGCAGCCCGGAAATGGGAGAGCAGCCCTGGATAATGGGGCAGCCCTGGTTTAATGAATCACAGGAAAAACTACAGGTCTGGGTTTTTTTTTAGGAACAGGGAATCTTCTGTTTTTCTGAAGTGTTTAAAAAATGACTCAGTGAAAGCTCCATATAAGTGTGGAGGGAGTTTCTAAGTGACTCAAGCATTAATAAGTCTGTAAATATGAACTGGGATCTCCATCCAGCTGGCCTTACTGCTTTGACAGATGAGTTTAATCCCACCCCATCCCAGTGCTGCCATTCCACCCAGAAACACGGCAGGGACCCTTCAGAAGGGCACCAGTGCTTCAGCTGTGCACACAAACCCTGCCTTTACTGCTGGGCTACCAAATAAGAGCTCCAAAATCTGAGATCAAGGTGATTTTTGCAGTACTGAAGGTGTAACCAAAGCCACATTTTCCTCTGCTCCTCACAGGATCTGAACTCTGAATAAACCACCCACTCCGAATTCAGTGGGGTAGTTTATTTCCTGTTTGGGAAAGAACAAGAAGTTCTTCCTTGCTACTCTGAGCAATTAAGTATTTTCCTGAACTAGCATGACAAACAGATGAGACTATCATAACATTAAGGGCTTTCTCAAGTCCAGCTATTCTTCTTCGGTAGCCAGCAGAGCATAAACATTTAATTAAAGTTGTCTAGACTGGAGAAAGTCTGAACCAGGTCACCCTCCACCGAGCACACCCCGTTTGCACAAACAAACCCAGTGCTCTGGCGCTGGAAACACAAACTGGGATTTTCCAGCCTGGACACCTCTGTCCTGCAGAGCAGCCCCTGGGCCACCTGGATCACTGGGGCAGCTCATGGAAAATGCATTTACAGTGCCACAATGCCCAGAGTTACCTCGTGCAGGTGTGGAAATGCCACAGAGGATTGTGCCCCTCCCTGAGACAGCTCTGCAGCTCAGCTGCTGCCACTGCAGCTCACATCAGAATCCTCAACCCTTCTGATTGCGGCCTGTCTGAGCTGGACTCCACCTTAAACAGCTGTTCAGCTTTCAGAACAGAAGGGACGTGATGGAGGAACACTCTATTAGCGAGCCCAAAGTGAAAAAAATCAACCTAGATCCCAGCACAGAAAACACAAATCCACAGAAAATCAAGGTTAAACGAAAAGGAAATAAGGTTACAAAATGCAGTGTTAGTTAAGGAGTGGAAAATTTCATCTGAACACCAGAGATGACATAAATACCTCCAGCATCAGCAATGGTGCTGTGAAAGAAGATGCAATTCTGTGCAATTACATCTTCTGATTTAGCACCTCCACCTCTATCATCTAAAACATGCAGAACTGTGGATTTCCCAACAAAATACTCAAATTCCAGAAACAACTAAGTGGATAATTCAGCAATTTTCAAGACTATCAAACTGACGTCTCCCAACGGAAGAAACAAAGATAACGTATAAGCTTGGGGTGCTTTTAAAAAACAGAAGCAACTCTACATGTGAACTACCCTTAAAAATAAACTTCCGGGAGATTGGAAAAATAGCCATAAGCAGAGGGGGCTCCACGTGAAACCGGCTGGCTTTGAGCTCCAGTTTGGGCAAAGGACCACTGCTAGTCTGTCTGGGAGGAGATAATTCTGATTTTATGGGGCAGAAGTAACATCTGACCCAACTGAAAAGATGTTTCCTGTGCAGGCAGGCAAAGCAAAGGCTTTGCTTTGTTAGGAAAAAGCTACTGTTTCCTCTTGGGATTTCGAGGCTGTTTTGGGATGTTTCCCACAACCTATTTCTGTATTTTTTAAAAAATAAAATATTTCTTTCTACGGAAACCTTGTTTATGTGACAGAATATTCTCTCTCTGTTCAGTAATCTTTACAACTTGTTTTACTGGAACATCAAACAGGGAATTTCCAGGACCTGTTTCAAGTGTTTTTTTGGACATCAAGTAGAGCATTTCTCCTCCCTGTAATTTCAGAGTTCAGGTTTTAACCCTTGGTACACAACAAACACACTCTTAATTAACTCCAGCTACCGAGTTTGCAGTTCTCCAGTGATAATTTGCACAGAAGTTCCTCCTTCATGCAGCACAGAGTGGAATAAGCTTTAAATAGCTCCTTACAGCTTGAACTTCCTTATTAGCTTCTCTCCCCAGAGACAGAAGTTGGGAATAAAGGCAGGCTGAGGTCACAGCAAGCACTGAGAGAGGGGGGAAATGGGGGCAGGGACCTCTGGCTTTGCCCAAAAGTAAATGCCAAAATGCTGGAGTGGGACTGGCAGCAATGCCAGGCACAGAGCCACCAGTGAATGCAATGCAATGCAGCAATGCCAGGCACAGAGCCACCAGTGAGTGCAATGCAATGCAGCAATGCCAGGCACAGAGCCACCAGTGAATTGCCCAAATGCAGCATCTGCCCTAATTGCCATCATTATCTTGAGCGAGCAGACCTGATAAACGAGAGCCACCCACATCTGCCCAAGTAAGACCTGTTATCTGTGCTGTTATCAGCTTTGAAAAACAGAATAAGGCTTCCTCAGGAAATGTCCAGCAGCACAGAGCTGCAGCTTCCTTTGCTGGGAGCTTGGTGCCAGGCTGGGGTGGTGCTGCAGGGCTGCCCCGCGCTCAGGACGGGCTGTGGGCACCCCAAAACCGGGGAACAGCACCCCCAGAACCAGGGAACAGCATCCCAAACCCAGGAACAGCATCCCCAAAACCGGGGAACAGCACCCCAGAACCAGGGAACCCCAAACCAGGGAACAGCACCCCCAGAACCAGAGAACAGCACCCCCAGAACCAGGAACCCCAAACCCAGGAACAGCACCCCAGAACCAGGGAACAGCACCCCCAGAACCAGGGAACAGCATCCCAAACCCAGGAACAGCACCCCCAGAACCCAGGAACAGCACCCCCAGAACCCAGGAACAGCATCCCAAACCCAGGAACAGCATCCCAAACCCAGGAACTGCATCCCAAACCCAGGAACAGCATCCCAAACCCAGGAACAGCATCCCAGAGAGCTGGAACCCAGAGCCCTTCCAGCAGGGAATCACTGCCACAGCTTTCTGCTCCTGCCCAGCACACGCTGGGACTCCCAAGGTGAGCAGAATCAGCTTTTTAAGACACTGGCAAACCGAGCTGCTTCCAGCAAGACACAAACAAAAACCTCCCCAGGCCTGCAATAAAGGCTGTAAGGAATGCCTGCATTCCATAAACAGCACCCAAGGGAACTCTGCTCCATGGAAGCTGCTCTCTAAGTGATGCACAAGCCCAATTTGCCCCATCTGTGAAAGATTTAACAGCAGGAAGGTTTTGTATTACTGAACTTTTCTTTTTATTTAAGCAAGAGGCAGGCTTAAGTTTTTCAAACTGCACTGTAAATCTAGTTTCTAAATCCACTAACAAACAACACCTAGTTTCTCATTAATATTGCTTTATAGTGCATCACTGCATCAGGAGCAAAGAGATGAATACCAGCTCCCAGTCATTAACACAAAATAGTTTCTATTCCAGCGTAAATTGCCTAGGGCCTTATTAACATAAAGGAACAAGCAGGAAGCTGCTTCCTGTTTTCTAAAAGTAAACAGAACCTCAGTTCTAATGTATGGAAAGCAGGGGGGAGGGAACACAGTGCTCTAACACAGCGATAGGGATCCATTTAAATATTGAATTGTTTCCAGGCGTGGTGTGCTATTTCAGAAGGCAAACCTGTGGCTCCTGCAACCCTTCCTACACTGCAAGGAGGACTGGGAGCCCAACTCAGGATTATGCAACTCTCTGACAGCATCTGGGTTTTCTGGATGATATAAACACAATTATAACTACAGGAAAAGGAGCACAATAAGAAGTCAGGCTTAAAATCTGTTCCAAGGAGAACATTGAAATTTATGTAGTGGACAGGAAGCTACTTTCAGGCAAAAAAAAAAAAAAAAAGTTTTGTTTTTTTTTCCCAAAGAAGTTTTAAAACAGAGGAAGCAAACTGAAGCGCTGGGAAAGAATACTGTGAATACAGTCAGTCTGTCAGGCAGCAAGGAGGAAAGGGGCAGGATTTGGGGAGAGGGGCAAAAAGGAGTGAGCTCAACAAGCAGTGTCTGCTCAGCAGCTCCATTCTGACACACAGCAACGGGGCCAGTGCCAGCCAACAAGTGCCTGATACCATCAGGGAGAGGAAAACTATTTTAAGCTGTGTCATCTGCACGCATGGATTCTCTCTGCTAAATGCCAGATGCAAAATGCTTGTCTCTAAGCGTGCAGGAATATCAATTATTGCAGACTGTGCTACAACCAGATGACATGTTTACAAACTAAGGTACTCCTCCTCTGCAAGTGCCTGTCCTTTCCTATAATGTACCACAGGACTGGGCTCAAACAACCAGAGCTCAGAATCATTGAAATCTGAAGCAGAAGTAAAACTAGCCCATGAAGGGAAATGTGTTTTTGTCACTGTGAGGGAAGCAAACAGGCAGGTAAAATCCTGATTTGCAGCCACTGACATCTATGTGTTTAACACAACTGCTGGAGAAAAATCACTGCTGTGGTCCAGGGTTATGCAATCCCCTAGGAAAGTTCAGAGGATTGAACTCCACCTGCTCCCAAAATATACCCACATCTGAGACACAACTATTACTGTTCCAAAGAAATGCAGCTGCCGAGGCAGGACAGAACCCTGTGCATGGCCCCTGGGGACCTGAGGGCTGTGGGACCACGTCAGACAGGTCCTGTGTGAGGAGCAGCAGCTGCCCCAGCCCCAGGCCCCACTCCTGTGCTGGCAACTGCAGCTCCATTTATACAATTTGTACAAAATAAAATTAAATCAAACTAAATTTGCTCTCAAGAGTGCAGATCTTTAACTCAGAAGTTGTTTTTATTCAGGGCAGCACTTCTATGCATCAAAATGTGAGCAAACAGATTAGCAAGGTTTCCTTTAATTAGTCACACACAAAGCCTTTGGGCCAGGGAGGCACGGTAAAGCTGTTACCACAGCTACTATCAGCAAACAACGACAAAAACAGCGTGAGGCCAGTGTTTCTCTAGCTGTATACTCCAAATAAATGGAGAAAGCAGAGCTGGCAGGGCTGAGCTGCTGAGCCTCTGCCCAGATGAAGCAGTTACAGGAGTTTTCCTTGCAGAGCTGCTGCCAGCAGGGCCAGCCCGGGCTGCAGCACCACTGGGACAGCTGTGGAGCCAAGGGGAGCACAGCTGGCACCTACAGCACAGCTGGAGCCAAGGAGAGCACAGCTGGCACCTCCAGCACAGCTGGAGCCAAGGAGAGCACAGCTGGCACCTCCAGCACCACTGGGGACAGCTCTGGAGCCAGAGAGCACAGCTGGCACCTACAGCACCGCTGGCACCAAGAGCCAGCCTGCATTTGAAGCTTCCATTGCCCTTTCCCACGAGCCCCAGCTGTCCTCACAACCCTGAGATGAAACACTGCAGCACATCCCTGACAGAGGAAGGGGGAAACAGCCCTAACCTTTCATTAGATCAGTATTTTATACTCCGTAATTATCAAGCATAGGTTACAATTTCATTTAATTTCTTCTCAGCCATGAGTACTTGACAAATTATGTCAAAGGGTATTCTTAGTGCATTAATCTCCTCACACAAGAGGGAACTGCAGGTTAAATTTCAACAGGAAGGATAATTGCTTTACACTACTGGAAGGTAGGCAATAAAGAGCCTCTGGAATGGAGCTGCTGCATTTCTTCCCATTGGTCTTTGTGCTCCACTGTACACATCTCACACTGAAATACTGAAGGGAGGCTTGTTTGGGTAACACATTCTGACCACACAGTGAAAAGATGGATCTCAGGGCAGAGCAGAAACTGGCAAGTGTGTATTGGAACAGAAAACAAACCTTCCACCTGACCAATAGTTTTGAGAGGGTGACAATATTCCTCCAAAATAAAAGGATGCTCCTGCCAGCAAAGGGAAGAGTAAGCAGCTGAGCACTCTCAGCAGTGCCAGCTTATGGAGGCTTAGCCAACACAAAGCCAGGGATGCTTTTGACTCAGTGTGACGTTATTGTCACTGAAAGACTCATCTGTGATCCCTCTTGGGGAGAAGAGTTCCTGCTTTGAGCAGCCCTCCCTGCTAAGGGAGACAAAAAACCTAGAAAGGAATTGTGGTGGACCTTTTACACAGCAGAAACACATGGTTCTTTATCAGAAAGGATGAAAACACACATAACACTGTATTTCAATACCAAAATGCTTCTTGCAGACAGCTTCTGAGACAAAAATTACCTACAGCATTTCCTATGTAATCCTGCTGATATTAAATGGGATTCTGAACCAGTAATGAACTTCACCTTGGATACAGCTCTCTGCAGAACTCACAGCGGTACTGTTGTCATGTTTGCTTCTTATCCTGATACTTAAAACCTACCTTTAAAGCCTCAATGACAAGATCTCTTGCTTCTAATTCTCCCTCGAGAATGCTAAACAGCGTCAGTAGCTCTGGTTTGCTGAGTTTTTCCAGATTCATCCTGAAAACCTGAAAAATAACGAAACCCAGTTTAGCAGGCATTTCTTTGGACATTAAGATCAGTATTTGAAGCTATGACATATAATCTCATTTAAGTTCAGCTCCCAGCTCTCTGGACTGCAAACTGCCCTGAGGGGGGGTAATTTTCTCTCATTTTCCAGCACCAGTTGCAGAAGATGCATTTGTCACCTCCTCCCAGGGGACAGGAACACATGCACTCCCAGATGGCGATGGCAGAATGTGTGGGCTGACAGGACAGGACAACATTCACCAGGCAGCAGCCAAAGTTAACAGGAGAGGGGAAAAACAAGGATATCCAAAAGTCATCGTGGTCACACATCTGCCTCCCACAGCTGCAAACAGCAGCGAGGAGCTGAGATGAACCAGGGCCAGCGTGGCCACCCACAGGAGCACGATCTGCTCCTGGGAATGCCATTAGCCATGCTAGTGGAGCAGGCCCAAACCCCCCACAAAAATCAATGCCATGGAAAATACACACTTCATTACTGTTCTTTCAAACTGTTCAATATCAGCATCATCTATTAAATATCATCTTACTGCCCGCATAAGAGATCCATCATCTGAACCACACATAAAGAGGCTTCATATTCTCTTCCATCTTTGCTGATACACTTAACACTGTCCCATAATAACCTTTTTTGTTACATTATTTTGTTAAAAATGGAAGTAATTTCAGACTAAATCCTTGTCTCTGATGAAAATATACCCATTGATGCAGTCTTGTGCTTTGCACAACCATCAAATACACTTTTCTGAGTCCAAGTCAGGTCCATCTTTCACCACACTTGGTGTCAAGCAGAAAATTCTGCAGCATGAAGAAAATAATCAGAGATATCAAACTCCAGTGATAAAGGGTTAAACTGGCCCTGCTGGAGAATCCATCCAGCTGAAACACTCAGCTGAAGTCTAGCTTGTCTGAAGTCACTGCTCCTTTACAGCTGATTTGCATAACTGTGCCTTGGAGAGTTACACACAAAAGCAAGTTCTGTCTTGTTTGTGCCAGAGCAGTTTTCCAGTGGCCGGGAACAGAAAGTTCTGCAGTCATCACAGAGCAAGAGAAATCAGAGATCACTCTGTGCCCCTGTGCTGGGCAGGGAAGTGTCCCATCACACCCACACTCGTGCCTCTCACGGCGCTTTACACGAAATTCCAGAAGGAGCAGCAATTCTCACAGCTCTGCTGGCTCCCAAACCCTGGGCATGGGCTCAGGGCAACCCCAGGGCAGGGACCACGAGGGGCTGCTCAAACCCGACCCAGCTGGACACCACAGACCCGTCCCACGGCATTTCTGTCCCTGCCGCAGAGCCAGTCACAGATTCAAGAGGAAAACCCACGAGTGGAACGTCTGGGAAATCTGCTCATGTTTGTCACCATGTCAAAAAACCCTGATCAAAACTTGACACAAAGGCACAATCTAGGAAACTCACTGTACTGACTAAAATCCCATTTCTGTGGGCCAGGGCAGCGCTGGTCACCTCTGGTCAGTGCATGGACCTCGGCAGAGATGCCCAGGTGGCAGCCTGACCATCTCCCTCCCTCTGGACACGGCTTGGGGCTCTGCTGAGACCCCGTGCAAGCAGTGTGATTTACAACTTCCACCTCAGAAAGACGGAGGAGAGGGCAACGGGAGCTGCAAGGAAATGCTAAAACATCAAGAAGAGCGAGAAAAGACATAGCCTGGTTCTAGCCTTTGATATTTACCATGTTTGTGTTGGTGCTCATGTCAAAGCTGCAGCATTTCCCTGGGCAGCCTTTAGATGTGGAATATCCAAACATTGCTTAGGAGGTGCCCAGCTTGATTTCAAAACCATCTCAGTCCTTGCTGAGACTGAATTCACAGGTTCTAAGACTGAACCAATACCTGTGGGAAATACCTTTCATTGCCAGGCACTCGCCAGGTTACAGTGGCACTGGGGCATTATAAACCTGAAGGAAAAGGAGATCTTAGAACAAAGTGTATCACATAATTCTGTTACCCCAGGACAGTAAGTGTTGGACATGGACTTTCACCATGACTGCATCCATGCTTTTCCCTAAAAAAGAGATGATGTGGAAATGTGCATCTGCGTATCCCCAAGAGCTACCAGGCAGCTCAGTCTTACAGCAAGGACAGCTACCAGCTGCAGTTTGGTATTGTAAAGCCATTACTCAGGGCAGCAATAATTTCTGCTCTATATTCTAACTACTCCCATTGTGACTCGTACTTGCCAGTGTTGTAGGAATAAGCCAGGCTATTCTTACCACACCTCTGTAGTCTGTAATATGCTTAACAACATAAACAAGCCCTGTCCTAAAATATACAGGTAAAAATATCTAAGAGAAATAAAGAGCAGGAGCCAGTGTGCACAGCAATCATTTATCCAACAACAAGAGGTGACATTACAGGCATGTCAGTGGTACAGCCTCAGCCTCCTCATGTGCAGCCTGCTGCAGGAGAAGATCTCCACCTGCTTTGTTTGCATCACACTGCTGCGGGAACAGACCGGGAGCAGATGCAACAAATAAAGGCACTGCTCTAAAAACCCCCAAAATGTACCTGTACTCTCCAGTGACCGCAGGGAACCTTCAGAGCACCCCAGGCAGATGGCTGTTATGCTGAATGGACCACAATCCCAAACATTCCCTTTCAGGGCCACTCTGCACTTGGGAGCTGAAAATTTGGGGGAAATAAAAGCCCTATTCATTTGCTGTTACTGTCTTACAGAAACAAGAAGCATCTCTGGATCAGAGAGCTAATAAGCATGTACTTGAGCTCCTTTTCCCCTATCCAAATCCAAATCCAAATCCCTTCCCAGCCCTCCAGGCTCCTGAGCTGACCTTTCCAAGGCTCTTTCAAGCTACACACGCCTGTGCCTTCCCTCGTCCCATGTTTTATCAAAAGATCACACCAACTCTATTAAATTACACAGTTCTCCCCCTTGCCAAGTGTCTCATTCTACCAAAGGGATCTGGGCACTTCAGCTGGGGAACCTGACCCTCTGTTTCCAAACCTTTAACCAAGAGGCATCAGAAACAAGATCCAGCGACTGCCAGGGCACGGCACCCCTTCACATCCAGGGAAATACACTGAGTGCACTCACACACATCACAAACCACAAAGACCTTGTTGTTTAGACCCATTACATAAATATTTTCCCCGAGTCCGAGATACACCACCATTTTTGGACAATAAGGCAGAGTTTAGAGCATAAACAAAGATAATCACTTTCTGCTTGCCTAAAGGTGAGCTTGCTTTCAGCTTCGGACCACTGGAGCCCCCTTGGCAGAGCCATGCCCACCCTCCGCAGAGATAACACCTTTCTAAGAAAGCTTTTTCCCGGCATTTCACTGAAATAACCACAGAGAGCAGTTTAAGTGTCTGCACACCACCGGAGCGGGGGAGTTATCTGTGGCATGTGCCACTTGAGGAACTCTCAGATAGGCTGGCAGCTCCCTCTCGGCCGCGGCGGGTGATCCTGACACCGCGCCAGGGCACAGTTCAGTGCTCTCACACACACACAGACGGGCAGAACCCACCCAGAGAATGGTGCCAGGACAGGGGAACCTCACACACTGACCACCGGGGCTGGAGGCAGGGGCAGAACCCACCCAGAGAATGGTGCCAGCTCAGGGGAACCTCACACACCAACCACCGGGGCTGGAGACAGGGGCAGGAGCCCAAGGGGAGCCCCAGGCAGGAGCCCAAGCACAGCCCGAGGCACGGGGAGGCACCTTCGGGATCCTCTGCAAGCCCTTGGCTCAAAACTCTTCCACTTTTAAAAAAGAACATCATGAAGAACCAAGCTTGTTGCTCCTTCCTCCTCTGAGAGAGGGTATTTCCTAAACCTACACCAACACAACAATGCCATAGTGCTGAATATTCTGAATCAGCTTAATTGCCTTTCCTGTGTTCCTGAAGAGGAACCAGCATTTTCCAGAAGCCAGCACTGGCAGTCGTGTCATCACATTAATGGCAGAACCTCAATGACCAGTTGGAGAAGTCCTGACAGACAAGTTCCCAAAATTGTTTCTGCATGTATCGAGTGGTGTTTGAGTCGTTTCAATAATTACATATGTTCATGTAATGAAAAATGCTAACATAGACCTAATAATTGTGTATCCACAGTGCTACCTGGCATTGCATCACTCCTGTGGAGAGCCAGGATAAAATGAGAACTGTTTATATTTCCTTCACCTTTGTGTCTCAGCCCTAAAGGAAAAAGGGCATTACCCACAAAAACCCATCCTCATCGCATTATGTTTTGTAGTAATTCTCAGAAGGAAGCAAATTAGCAAAATTCCAGGATGGATTTTGTGTGGGTCCTTGAAGCCCCCGTGCAGAACCGAAACCATCGCTGGCTGCCGACCTTCAGCCC